AATTTTTTTCCACTCTAGACTTGTCCATAAATTTGTGGGTAAATCCTGTTAGTGCATGAACCATTGTGCTTCTTCTCATCATCTCCGCTTGAAACCTCCATTTCGCTTCTTCGACTTCATCAACCGCATTAAAAGACACACCAATCTCTCTCCCATCTGCAACTTTCCCTCTTCTCTTCTCATCATTCACCATCCCTCGATCATAAAGCTAAACCTACGGTTAAGTTCGATTAATTCGGAAGCCATTTTGGTGTATAGAACTCCCTAGCTTGATTCAGGGCATGAAATATATTGTGAAATATATAATTGGTTTTTCCCTTTGTTCGTCGCATTCAACATATCTAATTTTGTATGATCGATAAATCACAAAAGTGACTAGCGTTTGCGAGACCATTTAACGAGATATTCACGGAATGTAAATATATTTATGTGTTTTACTTTTACACGACTAATCCCATGCTATTTTCTCTTTTGTTAACAATTCTTTATTTTACTTGTTTATACTAACATGTTTGATTAATTTCTAATGAAGATTAAGGCCTTGATTGTTTGTAGATTCTGGACTAGTTTTTAGGTTTTGTTTTTCAAAAATCCACTTTTTCATCCTATCACGATTTTGAAGAAAATGATTCCCTAATTTATAGGGAAACTAGTTTGTACACCTAACTACCTATTTCTAAGCAAAAACCAAAATATATGTTTTATTGGTTTTTTCACAATAATTGCCGATGGACATTTTGGTTTATTCATTTATTTTTTTCAAAATATTGCTACTTCTAATTAAAACACAAATGAAGTGATAAAATTGAAAAAACAACTAATCCAAATCCTTTTGAGTGAATGAAAGTAATTATTTTGACATAGAAAAATCTAATATAAATTTTTGGAAAATAATAACTCATATTAATAGAATTAGTTTTAAACTATTTTATCAATAAAATCAACTTAATTGTTAACATTTAACCATCTTATAATTCCATAAAATAAATATATATGCATGATTTTATCAATAATTTTTGTAATTAAAATTTTCTCTTTAAAAGAAATATTTTTATTATTAATAATTTTTATATAGTTTTTGAATATTTTGTTTTATATTTATTTATTTTACTAATTTAGTACTGAAAAAAATTAAAAGACCATATAAGCATACCTAATAAATCAATATATATAGCCAAAAGCCAAAAACAAGATAAATCACTTTTTC